GTCAGACAATAAATCTTTATCTGCTTTTGACTTTGTGTAGGTCAAAAAATAAACAGCCCAAGGAAATCAAAAAGAGACTCAGATGCAGAGCAATGAGAATTGTTTAGAAAACAGTAGTTATACATGGTATCTTTAGTACTGTTCTATTGTGAAACCTGGTGAGAAAATAGTCATTATTTATTTGTTGTTTTTGATTCATAAACATGAATATGATCTATCAAATACAATTAAAGCAGGGACATCTGCCAAGCTTGTCTAGAGCTTTATTACAAAAGAACGGTTAAAATCCATGTTCCATTCCTATTATGTTACCCAAAACAATGATGTGTAATATAATGCAAAGTATCCTGTCATTAATACCTTTTATAAATGTTGTTTTCTGTGATTTGCTGGAGCTTTATTTTATACAAAAAACAACAGATTCCTCATCCAGTCATTACAGACAACAAAGAAAAAAACTATTCTAAAGTGCTTAAAGCATGTTACGACAATTTTAGAACTAAGCATAAAGCCTTTAGATTTCAATTTTTAAAGAAGTCACCAAAAATCATACAGGATCACTATAGTACTGTAAATGCATTGAAATTAAGAAAGAAAAAAATGAATTCAATATGCCCAAACCAGAATCAAACCAACAGTAGGATCCAAGAACTGTCAGACAGCAATACTTACAGCACCATCAAACCAGGGTGCCTTTCATTTAATTCTTCATGCTGGACTTATAATGTATTACATTAAGTCCACAATCCACACAATGTGGAAAACTACTGTACCTTTTTAAGAGATTAGTTTCTCTGCAGCTGTAATCATGATGATTAGACGTTACAGGCTGACCTGCAGTGCAGTGGCTCATGTACACATTTTTAATGAAAACTTCATTTGAGACAGAACACAAGCCTACACATTTGATGAACCTTAAAAATAGCCTTTGCAAAAAATAGTACATTTTCAGTCAATATAAAGAACAATAGCACATTCTGTAGTGCCACCACTCTGTTGCAATTAAAAAAAATATTAACCATTCCCTTTTAGAAATGCATCACTATAGATGCTTGCAAACACAATGCAACATTTTGGAAAATCCCACATGCGAGAAATGATTTTTGGTGGCAAAGCTTTATAAAAATGATATGGAACTCTGCCAAGAACAGACTCTGTGACCTTCCACTTCTCTTTATTGGATTATTTGCTAATACATTTACAGCAGGATTATGTGCATTAAGAAGGCCTGTTTAAAAAAACACTCCTGCAATTGTTCAGTTAAGTGCGGCCTGTCACAAATAATAAGAACAGGCTATATGCACTATATATATATACACACACTACATAAAGTACAACAGTAAAATTATAGTTTTTTTTTTAAATAAACATTTGTAAGGTCAGGATCTAATCTACCAGATTATTTTTATAGGGCATGTGATTTATTATGTCATTCCAACTTGTTTTAGTCTGGAGCACAAGAAAATTATTAAAGCAGATTCTGAGACATATTGGACAGAAGAATAGATACACACAGCACAAAACTGTCCAGAGGAGATCTAAGCTTGCCCACATCTGACAAAAGCCACCTGCTACAACATGTCTGATATCTCACTGCTTGCCAGACATTTAAAAGGCGGAAATCTGACTGATACTTAACAGATTGCAGAGATGTGAAACCAAGGATACATAGACTAACAAGCAAGACAGACCACAGAACAAACTGCTGATCAAGAAAGTTCCATTTTCATTTCCAACTAATCTCTGTGATACTACTCTGACAAGATATCAAAGTCATATTAAGACATTATCGCTCTGAAAAAAACCCCACTGTATTTTCATTGGTATGATAACCATTTTAACGTTCTTAGTTTCAGCAGATAATTTTATTGATAAAACATTTGTCTTCTCTAAATTCATGCTTTGCATGTCTTACATAGTCATGGCTGACATTTTCCTTCTGACAGAGTCCTTGACAAGTAACTCAAATGACATATTCTGACATTTCAGGATTTGAAATAGCAGCATGTCTGAATTTGAATGATACATAATTCCATTATTACACTTACCAATATTTTCACTGGGTCACCAATTTTTAGTTTAAAATTAAAAAAGCAATCCTTTAATGTCTCACAAAAAGCAATTAGATTAACTGTTTTGTCAGTGTTAGCAAGTCAAACAGAAGTAAGAAAAAACTAAGTACCTATGTCCGAGGTTCCTCATTTAATTTTGGTATTATAAACCATTTATGCATGTTCACATTCTGCAGCTTCAGCTGCATTTCACATCTAGAAATGTAAAATCCAGAGCATAGATTCTTCATCCAGTCTCTTCCTCTTCAAATGTCAAAAAGAAAGTTTATAAAAAGACTTCCAGTTGATATTTACAACTTTAGATGGGATTTATTTGCATATTCATAAATTATTCCCAAAACCAATCTTAAAAACTCAGGACACTGGTTATGACATTTATTCAATCTGAGGTACCCATTATACTTTATAAATGTATCATTAAATATTATCTTATTTTACAGATTGTGCACTTATTTAGCTTTTCACTTTATGCATACAATTGAATTTGATGGAAGTGCTATTTTCTTCTGCCTATGATTAATTTCTATGTATTTCCTTCTCACCTATCTAATGTACTACAACAATTTTACTTAGAAGCTGACACCTGCTGTGAACTGCAAAGGGCCTTTTGTGTGAATGAAATTAAACCATCTCCAGGAAATTGAACCACATGAATATCTGAAATTTTAATGGGATGCCTAACTCAAGCATGCATTACCAAAAAGAAAACAAGTGACAGCAGATAGCACAAACACCACATTTAAACAAATTGCTTTTTACAATCTCATTCCTGAACCACTTTTCTTTCTGAGCTGTCCATCACGTTGCTATCCAGCACAGATATGTCTAACAGTTGCGTAGAGTACTTCCGTTCCTTCCATCCATCCATCTTTCAATTTTCTAACCACTTTTTCCAATAAATGGTCATGGGGAATCCGGTACCTATCCCAACCCCAACAAGCAACAGGCAGAAGGTGGAGTACATGTATGGATCACCAGTCCATTGCAGGGCACACAAAGACACACACACTCATAAAAAGGCTAATTTGCCCAGTTAACCTACCAGTATATCTTTGGACTTTGAGAGGAAACCAGCACTTGAAGGAAACACCAAACAGGGAGAACATACAGTACAAACTGCATGCATACAACCTCTCCTGGTCTGGCAGTGAACCCAGGGCCCCAGCGATGCTAATCGCTGAACTGCCATGTCTACCCACATTGAGTACTTTTTAAAATTATTTTAAATTAGTAAAAAGCAGTTTTTACTAATCTCATTGCTCACTGCATTTATACTTGTCGTGATTCCTTAACATACAGAGTCCTGATGCACCCAAGCACTATATTTTGCATTAAAGACGTGCAGGCAAGCAGGTTGTAAGTGTACATAAAAGCAGTGTACAAATATTTTTTTCCTTAATAAAAAATGGTCTGAAATGGCTGGGTCAGATGTTCTAAAATGACCATTTAAACCGCTTTGTGTATACAGTATATAGTGTTGATTTGGGAAGTCTCAAAGTGAAATTAAGCAGATTGTACCAAATAATGGTTTATTTAGACAATATGCATTACTTTTAGGTTAATAACTTTGGAATTCAATACATGGTTTAAAAATTAGTTAAACTTGAAAATGGGCTTAAATACATACAGTAAATCTATACCAGTGCTGGCACAGGTAATAAAGGTTTCCATTAATTAATTACTGAGACATAAGAAAAAACTCAGACACAGAAATTCAAATTCACATTCCCATAATTCTTTGGTTTCATAATGCTGAAAAGCAGATCCATCACAACAGACAGATCAAAGCAGCCATAGACAGCTGTGGATGTTTCTTTTCATTTTTCCATTTATGTTTCCATAAAGAAACGTACATATTTCTTAATTGTGACCAGTACAACAGGTGTATATAATGTATGTGTTTGACAAAAGTCTGAAAGGTATTCCTTGTATTTTAAGAGCAAGCAGCCATCTAAAAGCAAGCAAGGTTCTATGAAGACTAAAACTATGTGCTAAAAATACATCATAAACCTGAAATGTGTTCCTAGTTGGATAGAGAAAGTGAGGCAGGCAGACAGCAAGATATATGAATAGGAGGATTCATCCATCATAATAGTAAATAATTATCTCCTTAAAGTCTGCATATTTCTGGTACAGTATTTCAATGGTGTATGCTGCACCTAAAAGCTTAGGCCGTAGACTGCTTCAGTCTAGCACTCTACAAACAATTAACCTCTAGAAAAAGAAAAATTGCAATTACATTGCCAACAACAAACTAAAGCAGAAAAAACACTTGCGCCTAAGGCAGTGTGGTTAACATGTCAATAAGACTGTTGGTGGAGAAATTGACAATTCATATTATATGGTTGAGGGTATAGGAACTCATTGACACTACCCAATAAATCCATAGGAGCAATTACTGTCTCATTTACACAAGGCAAAGGCACGTAAACTGCCTATTTAAAGTTCTTAGTTGGAAAACAAGATATCTGGTATGCAGCAGAAAACTGTCTCAGAGCCTCAAGCTGCAATATACTTAGAACTTACAATTGAATTTAGAAACCTTCATTTATTTTAACATTTTACCACTGACTATAAACTGTCGTTGTGTTTCCCAGGCCAATGAGATTAAGTACTAGCACCTAGTTATTAGGTACGACGAACGAGGTACTGAGCTCTACTAGCTATCATTTCATGCAAGTTATTTGTGTAATCGAGTTAATTAAAAGAGATTATCCATATGTTCTAATGTGTTATATTAGCTTTTAGCAGAAAGGTTTTGTCTTATTTAGTATGCAAATGCAAAGTAAGAACACCGGTCACTAGTTTATTTCCATATGCTGAAAATTCAAAGGGCTGTAACTCTAGAATTCTTGTAAAAGAACGGCATTTTAGTCTGAATTGGAGATCTTGGTGGTCACGGTCTGAGCTGTAGCCTGCATGTCTCACCTCTGACACTCTCCAGCGTGCAGGACCAGGTCTTCATTGTTCTTGGCACTGACTGTCAGCTCGTGCTCTGTTGAGTTGAAGACATCGAGGAGCAGGTGGCACTGACGGGCACTGTGGGCAAGGACACAATAAAAATCAGTTGGCATGAGCTTCCCGTACCACTACAGATCCTAGAATCCAGGTGATTTCATACAGTGTGCATTGCTTTGAAAAGCAGGAAATACTGGAACAGAAGTTCAACGTGTAAGAGTTGTGCTTATTTTGAAGAGAAAAGAAATGTGTTTTTCATTTATATGATATGGATAAAAAAGGAAAAAAAAACACTTCAAAACTAAACATTTTTTAAAAGAGTAAAATAAAACCAGAAAAAATCAAATAGAATGGAAGTGAAAGGTGAAAATCTGGCCAATATAAAATGAGGCTTTAACCTAAAAGACAGTTCACATTGTTCCAAACTGTCCTAAGACCAGGTGTCAGGTGTTAATGCCCAAGTTCAACCTGGTGATGTCCACAGTGTTCAGTTCAGTGACCCATTTTTGCCTTCACAAGAGAAAATTAGCTTCCTGCAGAGCCGAGCAAATACAGGGCTATGCACTAGATGGAAGATGTAGCAGTCAAGACCCAAGGAAAACAGGAACTTCCAGTTTCCCTCAAACATACCTCCTGGACCTAACTACAGCAATCTTCTAGATAAAATCTGTAAAATTTCAGATGATTTATAGTACCCTCCATACCATAACTCTTTTTTTTGTTTTTCTTTAAGAAGAATTCTCTTTCAATAAAAATTACAGGAAAGCTCGCGAAAAGCATTCTAAAACAGTCTTGACGCTTGTAATGATTATGTGCAGACTTGAGTACATTAGGTAGGATTCAGAACAAACTCATGCACTCAAAGACAAGTAAGTGTGAACTACATCATGTGTGCTTTTGCAGTTCCTATTGGAAAGGTTCACGCAGTGTGTACCTGTTTTAGCCCCAGGCTTAACTTTAATCCCAACAAATGATAACTTTTGAAACATTTTTCAAAAGATCTACTCAACTGCATAGAGAGTACTAAGCAGAACATAAACCGTGCAGTAGCAATAAATTCCTCAAAGCAATTTAGATTTCCCTAAGTGAAAGGGGTCTTAATAGTCCAGTTGAGCAGACAGATCAAAGGGGTTTTAGGACGGCTAGCATCATTGCACCTCTCTGAGCATTCTCTTTGAGCCAACTTAAACTCTCAGCTAACATAACAGATCGAATCATGTTATTCAGTACTATCATTTAATGTGTACTTTCACCTACATTTTGTTTTACTATTTAGTATTCTCTTAATGCTAGTGTTTTGGGAGACTTGCTTTAAGGAACCAATCAAAAACTGAGATCGACCCCCATACTAGGTCAAGGCTGTAGAAATAGGAAAATAATTCTTCTGTTTCTTCTACTTATATTTCGATGATGTACCGATATAGAAGTAGTTTGTCAAATTCATTTTGACAGACTTGATAAATATACTGTGCGACTTACCCCTGAGAAAGAAATGTTTCAATTTCATGTCAAACGTGAAATCAATTTCACTTTGATTAAAAAAAATCTGCACTTTAAATGTTTTGTTAGAAACAGTTAAAAAAACAGTAGATAAGGCACTGACATGGCTTTATACAACAGTTATCGTCTAATGAAAAGTCTATGAGAAAGTCTAATGCTTTCAAATTGTGCATTAAGAAGACAGCAAAATGTTACCTGCAGAAGTATGTTTAACTGACAGGAAAAGTGTCGGTGCAAAGGTTCATTAGGAGCCTATGCCACAGTGCCTGGATTTCAATCTAGACCAACTTTGCAAAACCACAGGCACATTTCTGCTTAAACCACTGTTTTGCGAACAACTTCCATTCACCTTGTACTAGTTTATGTGAAGGCACAGTTACCTCAAAAAGTCAGGCCAACAAAAAAAACTCCCTTGAGAGGGTGAATCACAAATATAACATCCTGTAGCTATTCCTGTATTTGCTCCATTTGATCTAGCACTAGGTAAAGATTTTCACTCAAAGAAGTTAGATTCCCAACCATTGTATAGTATGGTTTCAGACTAAATTAAAGAAGAAGGGTTCTCAATCCATAAAAATGGCAGTAAAGCAGGTTGTATATATTGAGCTTTTATTGTGCTAAGAGAAACTGTGCAAAAAAATGCAGTTTTCGCCTTTATTTAACAATAACATACTAGATATAAATCAATACAAATATTTTATTCCTGTATTTATAGTAGCAAACTGTTATCCAAAGCACATAGTAAAATAAAGTACAATTTCAATGGCAATCATGCACCAATTACTGTACAAAGAGCTCAAAGTAAAGGGATAGAATGAGATATATATCGTAGATATATTTTATATAAAATAAAAAAAAATATGTTGACTTCATTACTATTGTACAGTATATTTTACCTACAATGCTTTATTCTGTTTGTATACCACAATAAAGAGGCAAAGACAATGGCATTTACAATGTTAGTGTTGCCTCATATCAAAACTATGAAAATATGGGAAATTGAAAGAAATGGAATACATTTGAATGATAGGAAAGATATGCCTGAGAAAGTTGGCATGTTAATTCAAATATCAAGAGATTATGTCCATTGTGTAAAACGAAACTAAAAAAAATAAGGATGGATGTTGACAATGATCTGGCCACTACAGTACAAATTGACTACAAAGCAAAAATAACAGTTTTAACCTTGTTGACACAATAAGAATAATAATTGCTTACACTTATATAGCGCTTTTCTGGAGACTCCACTCAAAGCGCTTTACAAGTAATGGGTACTCCCCTCCACCACCAATGTGCAGCACCCACCTCGATGATACCATCCATAGGGTACAATGTCAGGAATGTTCTGCAAACTCACAGAGCAGAACTGCTTTTCTATAAAATCTTCATATACATCAGTTTTCCAATTCATCCATCCATCTATCTATTTTATTAATAAGCCTACAAATAACATTTGTCAGGAAATCTAATGGAACAAGACTTCCTCCAACTGGTAGATCTGTTACCATTTATGTGTCATAAAGGTGGTCTTTGCGATAAAGGTAAAGTAATTAAAGTCTATCTAAAATCAGAGTAAGAAATTTCTATTTCTTACTGGGGGAAAATAATTTTAATCAAAATATCATTTTGCACTGTGCATTTATTGCAGACGACTTCGGAAATGCTAAAGTTTAACCAAGATTAGATCATCCCTCTTTTTTGGCAAAGGGATGATATCACAATTACTCACCCCACACATAAATTCTAATTTGTAAATGGCTAATGAAAACAGGAAAAGCTGCCAAAAGAATTCTTTTCCACCACTGATTACTACAACTTTGCTTTTCACAGTTAAAGTTGCACTTTAAATTCTGTTAACCTTGCGGCAGATTAACTTTTCCTCATTACCACCTGATATAATACATACAGTATTAAATGTACCCATGACTCAATTTAAAGTCAAGACAACCTTTTTTTATGTACTGTATACTCATACAGTATGTAATTTCTACTGAGCCTGGTGTTGTGGCATTAGCAAGCTGTGACTGAAACAGCATTCCTGAAGTTGTGGTTAGTTAGGCCCAAGAGTGCTTGGTTTCCTCAACTTCAGACTTGCCAGGCACGATGTTATAATTGAGGCCTTCAGTTGTCCATCCTTCCAGTTCTTCAGGTCTTCCTGCTAGGGCTTTGGGCTCACAATAGCAAATACAAGTAGGTAACTAGACTGCACATGTTGTTAAATGACACAAATGTTTTCTTCATCTCTCCTGCTTATGCTTATTTATAGTAGGAGTAGGAGCACCAGTAGTAGTAGTTGTCATTGTCGTTGTCGTTGGTCAATCCAAGCTCACCAACATTTAAAACTTTTCAGACCATCGTAAAAATTCTTCATTATTGACTTGTTCAGGATCATATTATTCACATTAACAGCAAAATGTAAACGAGAAGGAAAAGAAAACACTAACCAGGGTCTGGTTACATCATCCTAGAAAAGTATATTTTGCATCTTGTGTACAATATCAGAAGGCATCCTTCAAAGCACCAGGAGCTTAACAGGAACAATCAGCCGTATTTAGGAAGCTAAAACATATGTCAATAAAGTGATTTTTGCCCTTCTGGCCAATTTGTGCACCACCTGTAAATCAATATGCTGCATAAAGGATTAGAAAATGTTTCTATTACAAGAGAATGGAGAGAGAAATTAGTCTCCTACGGTGATCAATTGCACAACAACTTCCCTTGCAGCTGCAACATATTACTGATGTGCTTTTGTTAGGGAAAAAAATGTAATTACTGTATGGATATTTTTTTAGGTCATTCTTTACTTGGTTCCTGTTTTATGTAGCGTTTACATTTCCATGGATTTGAAATATAAATTTCAGCCGATCAACACCTGGTACTGTTAGAAATAACAATCCTAAAATACTAAATATTTTAATACTATACACACATACACAATTAAGACTAAACTTGCATATGATATCATTAGTATGTACTACAGGACGGTTAAGTCTGATTCATACTTTTGTATATTACGTTCCGCCAACTCATAATGACTGTCTCATTCATGACTTACCATAGAAAAAGAGCTTGTAGACACTGCCATTGTGATTGATCTAAGACGTTACAGCAGTTTTTCACATACTTCCATACAGACATTCCTCATTGTCATACTGGCAAGAGGCATTATACTCCATCATTGAGACTTATTGTTTCTGTCCATACAACAGGCTCCATATTGCAACAAAAAATAAAAATCGGTTGAGGTTTCACTCTCAAGGCTTGCAAAAAAACAAAAGTGTGTATTTTATGGATTGAGCATGGGCACTCACCATCACTAGTTTTGTCTTTAAGTTGATGTACACATCCATTCATCCATCCACTTTCCAATCGCTTCATCCAATACAGGGTTAAAAGGGGAGCCTATCTTGGCAAGCAATGGGCGAGAGGCAGGATACCACCTGCATGGGAAGCCAGTCCATTGCAGGGCACACAGGTAGACACAAACACTCACTCTTCCCAGAAGCCAATTAACCTACCAGTATGGCTGTGGATCATGGGAGGAAACCCACATGAACACGGGGAGAACATGCAAAATCCCA